CAACTCGCACCTTTCCTCCTCAATCATGCATTTTCTCCTCAATGTTGTTTAGGGTCGACCTGGTCTTCTCCGCCCCTCTGGCCTTCACTCCAATGCTGTAACACAGTGCTCCTCTCTGTCCTTTCTCTTTACAAGTCCAATCCAGTTCCATCTTTGACGTCTGATCTCAGCACATGCTCTGTTCACTCCAGTCATCTCGCGAATGTGTGTTGGTTGGAGATGGTTTGAGCCATCTTGTTCTAAAACGGGCTCCATGTATTTCTTTTGGAAACCGTCCAGTTTATTCGCTTCTGTATTTGTTAACTTCCAGGCCTCACAGCCATACATTAAAACTGGTCTCAGTAACAACTACTATGAACATGCCAATTAACATTAAAGTAAATCTTATACCATGCCATAGAAAATACAGCCAATCAGAATGCAGGAAAGCCCGTGGTATATTCGACGGTATTACATCCAACCTGCCCTTCATGCGCCGCGCGTTTGTCGCATTGACAATGTTGGCCACTGTATTTTCTATGGCATGGTATAAAATAGTTATGCAACGCACTCTCGTGGTATACCATGCAACATCCCACCTGTCACTTGTATTTTCTTGGTATTCACACGAGCCTTTAAAAAATACAAGTGGCTCGTGGTAAATTCCATGGTATACCACTCGAAAGCATTGCATAAGTATTACTTATCACGCCATTGCAAGATGCTGTTTTCACTTCTCAATTGCAGAATTTTTAGATCAGATACGTCCAAATTCCGGCGATCGAAGACACGTGCGAATCAAGACCTTTAACAGCAAGTACGTTTGGGCCCATCCAACACACAGGGGTTCTGAAAGCTATCTATGAACGCGTTGCTGTGGAGGGAAAGATTCTACGGGCAGAAAAGACGTCAATGTGCCCGGGAGACGCACCACNCCTTCAACAACAAGTATCTTTGGGCCCATCCAACACGCAGGGGTTCTGATAGCTATCTACGAACGCGTTGCTGTGGAGGGAAAGATTCTACGGGCAGAAAAGACGTCAATGTGCCCGGGAAACGCACCACATTTCTCATCCACTGCCATCGATCTAACAATCAGGACGTCTTCAGGTTCGAGATTCTTAACAAAGACAGCAATACTCCGTCAGGTTACTTCTTCTATGCGAATCCAAAATACTATAGGCAAGGTTTATACGCGTACAAAACTAAGTGGGACGACTCAGCTTATAAATTCAACTTTATCATAAAGCGTTGGAGGGGTCCCGTGGTCGCTATTCGAATGCAAGGTAAACAGGGTGCAAGGAAAAGCAAAGAGGAAAGCAACTGGTTAAAGTTCTCGGAGACTGGTGACGGTTATGTTTCAGGTTATGAGGACGTGTATATCCCTCCAGGATTTCCTAACATGGCCGATACGTTCACCTTGGAAGCAGGTATAAATAACGTTCGATACAGTGGCCCCGACCAACCTCGTACCCAGGGTCTCTAATCTTCCGCGCCCCCGAGAATGACGCTGGGCCCCGACGAAGCTAATGCGTTTTTTAAAAGTATCCGTTTTCGTCTC